GGAATAATGGGGCAGGTAATGCCAATGGCTTGACAGTCCTTCATGAACTTGAGAAAGGTTTCTGGTCGGAAGAAAAGCTGTGTAATGATGAAGTCTGCTCCAGCAAGAACTTTCTCCTTCAGGTGCTTCAGGTCTGCCTCATAGCTCTCTGCTTCAGGATGACCCTTGGGGTAGCCTTTGGAGGGGATCAAGAAAAGAAAAGCAGAGACAACACATCAGAAATTAGGAAGTAGCCAATCTCTGTGTCATTTGTGTCATTACAGCCCAGGTCCAGAAAGGGACTGCTGGACTGATTTCCCCATCTCATATCCTACCCCATACTTTGCATCAGAAAATGCATACCTGCCACACAGATGTCAAAGTAATCATCAAATTCACTGCGAATGTGCTTAACCAGGTCAACAGCATGATTGAATCCGTGTACTTCTTCCTCCCATTCCTCACCAACAGGATCTGGAAAGAGAATAAATCCAGTTCTTCCAACTGTTACTTCTTCATCTTGCCATGAAGCTGAATGTAACAGCAACACCACCTCAGCCCTACTAAGTGCTCTAGGACAAAAGGATTCACCTCCACGCAGTGCCATGATGTTCTTCAGCCCCAGCCGTTTGGCCTTCTGCAGGTGCCCTGTGATGTCATCCTTGGTCTGATTGCAGCACGTCATGTGAAGGATGGTCTCCAGGCCACAGTAGTTGACTGCAGTGTTGGCAATAATCATGGAGGAGGTTTCCTTGTCAGATCCTGGGTCCCCTGCAGGATGCCACGTCACATCAATGAAGAGAGGACCACCTGCTGCCATGCGGTCAAACCTGTGGATTTTAGAGCTATGTTAGCCTACTGGGTAGCCAGCTCACCTCCTCTCTATGCCAGGATATCTTGCTCCCTGCTGGAATGCCATCAACAAGCAGGGAAAACTTGGATGACAGCAGCAGGAGTCACCAAAAAAAGCGTGCAACTAAGAGTTAAACATGTGGCAAATATGAAATGAACAAAGATAATAATCACTTGAGGCTGAATGAAGAAGAACTGAGAATCTCTTGGAGGAGGAAGGAAGCAATTTAAGTCTTCTCTGTAGAATAAACCTCCTCTCAATGTGTTCTGTTAGTCTGATGCACAATCTGGTAGACCACAATGCACATCCCATTCACTTTCAGATGGAAGACTATGCCAGAACCTCCTTTCCCAGCTTTAACTGTATAGGCCGCAAACACGGAAAGGAAGGCCAGATCTCTGTGGTGTTTCCAAGCGTGCCTCACAGAAGAGACGAAGGCTCCTCTAACTTTTCCTCTCTCCTGCTCTGGGCTGGAACAGGCCCTTCTGTTAAAAGTAAACATGGCACTGGCATACAGCAATTACAGAAAGGGTTATTATGAGAATCCCTCTTCTCTTCCAGACGAGTACATGGTGGCTCAGGCTCCAGGATAACCTTTAGTTCTGCTGAGATCTGTCACCTTCCACACAGCATGTGCATGGGGAAACCAGTCTCAGAGTCTAAAACTGGAGTCCTTGGTAAAACTATAGTGGCTGAATGATTCTGAAAACCCGTGGGAGTTCAGTCCCAGAGATCTGAGCGTAATGTCCATGAAATATTTTCTGTTTTAAATAGCTATTACTCTATCGTCCCCAGCACTTCAGACCTAGAGCATGGCAACAGCCTTGCACTCTCAACAACCCCACCGTGACACTTAACACTTGAGGGCCTCCAAGGAAGATAAGTTACCTGGTGTCCATTACCCTCCTCAGCAGGAAAGCACAGCCCCATTACCTGCTTCGTCACCTGGAAGGGGAGACAGAGCACGGGGCAGAGCCTGCCTCATTAACTTTCTCCCAACCCTCCACCAACGAGGTTTCATCTATCCCCTCTCTTACCCTGCGGCCCTCACCTGGAGATGAGATTGACAGCAGCGTTGGCTGTGCGTGGAGGGAAGAACTCCAGGGAGAACCACCTGTCCCCAGAGTCCTGCCGCCGCCGCATCTTCTCCCGCAGTCGCTCGTGACGCTCGGCATCGAGGACAGGAGTGGAGCAGCGTGAGCTGTCCTTGGAGCTCTCGCTCCCACTGCTGCTGCCGCCATCGGACTTGGAGCTGGAGCTGGCACTGCAGGTATGCTGGTTCTCATTGACCATGGTGAGCGCTCTAGAGAAGGGGAACAGAATCATAGAATCGCTCAGGTTGGATGAAATCTTAAAGATCAATGAGTCCAACCATGACCTAACCGTACTACCCCAACTAACAACCTCTGCTAAATCATGACCCCGAGCACCACGTCCAAATGGGTTTTAAACACACCCAGGGATGGTGACTCAACCACCTCACTGGGGTGCCGATTCCAGTGCTTAACAGCCCCTTCTGTAAAAAAAGTATTTCCTAATAGCCCACCTAAACTTACCCTGGTGCAGCTTTTAAAGCCGTTTCCCCTCGTCCTGTCACCAGTGAGAACAGACCAACCCCGCTCCTTCTGTAAGCACCTTTCAGGTATTTGAAGAGAGCAATAAGGTCTCCCCTCAGCCTCCTTTTCCCCAGACTGAATATCCCCAGTTCCTTCAGTCTCTCCTCACAGGCCATATTCTCCAAGCCCTTCCCCAGCCTTGCTGCCCTTCTTTGGACCTGCTCCAGCACCTCATGTCCTTTCTGTACTGAGGTGCCCAAAACTGAACACAGAACTCGAGGTGAGGCCTCACCAGTGCTGAGAACAGGGCAGGATGACTTCCCTGGTCCTGCTTACCATTGCTGATCCAAGCCAGGATGCCATTGGCCTTCTTGGCCACCAGGGCACACTGCTGGCTCATATTCAGCCGACTGAATATCAGCACACCAAGGTCCTTTTCCGTCAGACAGCTTTCCAGCCACTCTTCCCCAAGCCTGTAGGGTTTCCTGGGGTTGTTGTGACCAAAATGCAGGACCTGACACTTGGCCCTATTGAAACTCATACGGCTAACCTTGGCCCATAGATCCAGTCCATCCAGGTCCCTCTGCAGTGCTTTTCTCCCCTCAGGAAGATCAACACTCCCTCCCACCTTGGTGTCATCTGCAAACTTACTGAGGCTGCTCAGAAGCAGCACAGTGTGTACAGGACATGCATCTGATGGCAAGTAAAAGGAAAAGGGGTCCTGTGCTACAACCACCATCAATCATCACCAAGAGGTCCCTCTGACCAGCCCTCACTGTAAGCTATGGCAGACAATCTTGTGAAAACACAGTAAAACGAGTGCATTTACACAGTGCTGAAAATAACACAGCAGCTGGCTTCGCGCCACTTTGATGCAACTCTTCTGTGACTGCAGGATCAAACTTGGCTCTCACGACAGTCAGGTTAACATGACTTTTGCTCTGTCTGCAGTTTAGCAGGCTGTGATGCCCCCATGCACCAGCTGAAGACCTTCTTGATCCTGCAGTCTCAGGATCTACACACACCAGCAGATTTTCCTCTACAGCAGCTGCCCCTTGGACTGCATCCAACTTCATGAATTCCCATCTGTTTATTCCCAAAAGGCAGCATTTCTTTACAACACAGAGATAAGGACAACTGCTAATAGGGAAGGTAAACAAGAAAAAAAATGGAAGAATCCTTTCTGAAACAGGGCCCTCTGCATGCCATCCTTTCTTTTGTCCTTATGGACATCACCCTGTGGCATTTCTCTCTCTGCAAGACACACCACTTCTGTAGACATTTGCACTGCACACATTCAGCTATTTCCTTCACCAGTTAGGGTGCTACGTTCACTTCCTCACCAACTGCGGCTGCCTGGAACTGAGGTTAGAGACCATCCAATCTTTCCCTGCCCTGCAGAATGCTCAGATGTGCTTGTTGGCTTTCCAGAACATCAAGCAGCTCTGCAGGTTGGGTATTGGATGCCCAGCTCTGCTGAGCTCCCTGGACCACAGCTGCTTGATGCTTCATCTCCAACACCTCAGAAGTTAGGGAGCAGTTACAGACAGCTAGAGAAAAGCTGCTGTAAAAATTGGGATTTGGGTTATTTGCTTTGTCAAAGCTTAACGCTGACACTGAGAGCAGCACCTTGTCATTACATAACAAGGAGTCTATTCTGGAGGAAGCTGTTGCACAAGCTGGCACACTCGTTGTCCTCATCAGAAACTCCGAGCTCCGGTCATCCAGACTTTGAACTCTTCTCCTGTTTACACTCAGTTGGCCATCAAGCCAAACCCTTTGGGAGAAAGTCTGCTTTTACCACCTGGGGACCACTCCAGCTGGCAGGAGATAAGAGAAAGGAGCACAAGGCTGCTGCTGCTGCCAGCCTCAAACCTTCAGCGTACCAACAGCCCTCCCCACAGACACAACAGCAGGCAGAATGGGGGTTATCTCAAAGCAGTGCAGCTATAGGGGCAGCCTCCCATCAGCTCATTGCCGACAAACAATAAACCTCAGGATTTCTTTTCCCCTTCGGCTCGAGCAGCTAGCACGCAGGTTGGCCTTTCGGTGTCTCTATAGGGCGAGGTTTTCTCGCCTCGTTTTCTTGCCGGCCGTCTCAAAGCACAGAGGCGGTAGGAAGGCCTCGTGCAGTGCATCAATAGAAGCGCTCGGCGTTCCCATCAGCTGGCAGGGAGCGCAGCTCCTCCCGCAGCAATCATCACACGGCTCACCCGAGTGCTTTGGGGCCGGACCCGCAGCCCCCAGGGCTACAAACGGCACGGTGCACCTGCACAGAAGGCCCTATAGGAATCGACCCTATAAGGATCCGCCCTATAAGGATCTTGGCTCCCCGCGGGGACGCCTGGCTGCAGACGACCGTGTGCTGTCACCTCGGCTGAACCCGTTCTAAGGGTGGGATGGGAAGCCTTGCTCTTTTTCCCCCCCGCAGGGCCCCGCTCACCTCCCCGCGGCGTCGCACGCTGCGCATCGCGGGCGGCCCCATCCCGCGTCCCTTTAAGCCCCGCTGTTCCCCCCCCAATCCATCACGTGGTATCCCGCTATTCCCTTATCCAGCATGGCGTCGCGCCCTCACTCTCCCCTTCCCTCCCCCCCAACCCCTGTACGTCGCCGCGTCACGTGAGCGCCGCGAGGTCACGTGCTTTGCGGGCGGGCGGCGCCGGGATAAGATGGCGGGGTGCGGCGGATCGCTGTGCTGCTGCTGCCCGCAGTGCTGCGGAGAGCGGGAAAGCCGCACCCCTGAGGAGCTGGTACGGCTGCGGAGCCCTGCGTGTGTCCGGCCGCTCACCCCGCGGCCTTGCTTTGTCGCTAAGCCTCAGGTCGCGGAGTGCCTGAGGGCGGGCGGGCGGGCGTTGGGTGTTGCCATGGCGCTGGGCCCCGGGCGCCTCAGCCCGCCTTACTGTTGCCTGCTGTGCTGCCCTTCCTGCCGCTGACCTGTGAGCTGTAACGTAAAGCCCTGTGTGGAGTGGTGACGTGCTGGCACAGCTGTGTGGGGAAATAAGTGGCTCGGCATCCCTGGGGGAGTGCAGTGTGGGTGTGTGGCTCTGAGGGATGTGGGCTGGATGACCTTAGAGGGCTTGTCCAGGCTAAATGGTACTCTGGTTCTGCTCTGTAGTTGTGTGTTTATCTGATGTAAGTGATGCTTTCATAGCCCGCACCTTAGCTTTGTATGTAGTGATCCTCATTTTGGGTTCTGCATTCATCCTGCTGATTATTTTTCATTTCACGTTGCCCTTTTGTTCTGTAGACAATCCTGGGAGAAACTCATGAAGAGGAAGATGAGATCCTTCCACGCAAAGACTATGAGGTGAGCAATAAACATCAGCTTCCTAAATATCTCAAGTGCTGAAGTCACATCAGTGGGGCTGGTCTCCTTTTGCAGCAGTAGAACAAGGAGCAATGAGCCAAAATGAACACATCAAAGTTCTGTGTTAATGTAAGGAAGAACTTCACTGCCAGAGTGATGGAGCAGTGGGGCAGGCTGCACACAGAGGTGATGGAGACTCCTTCTCTGGAATTACTCGAGATCTGTCTGCACACTTTCTGTATGACCTGTTGTAGAGAAAATGCTTTAGCAGAAAGTTGGACTTGATCTCCCTTCCAACCCCTGCAGTCCTGTGATTCTGTGAAAGAACTGCACACAGCTTTTGATCAGTTTGAGTCTGAAATGGGGCAAGAAGTCCAATTGCATCACTACAGCTAGGTTTCATTGGCACCACAGGAATGCCAAAAGGTGCTGCTCTTGCAAAGACCTGCTCTGCATTCATTGATATGGCATTTGTAGGTTAGAGCCCTGTGCTCTGAGTAGATCTTGACCATCTGCTGCTTAAGTCAGATTCCTATTGAGAAAGAAGCAGATCTTTCCATCTACCTGAAAGGTAAGGTCCTGACTCTTACAGGAGATTATTGGTTGTTAAGTGTCTGAATGGAGGCCCTGAGTTATTTAGAGGAGCTGCTGTCAGCATTGATGTCAGCAAGCTGTTACTGCTTGATGGAACAGCAACCTGTTACCCTTTGGCTCAAAAAAGTAAAGCTGATACAGGTAGAAAGTAATGATACCTTGTGACTACAGTGGGACAACTATTACTTTTAGCTTCCTCCTGTGATGAGGTTAAGAGCAGGTGCTGCCTGTTGAGAATTCGTACCTAGTAATTCTGCTGTAACTAAAGATTAAGTCTGATGTTGCCCCTTGCACTGTCACATTGGAGGCACCTAACAAAGCAAGGTCTAAATCTGTACGTTATGAATTCAAATTAAAGTTGTGTTAATCAGTTTATTTGTTTCCTATCCTGGTCTGCTCTTCCTGATTCTCACAGCTTGGCTCTACTGGAAATTCTTAAACAAAGTTGCTTACAGAAGTTTTGCCTCCCACGCTCGTTTGCAAAACAAGCTTTGGGGAAGTAATGACTTTTGTAATCTTTAACAAGGTCACTGTGGGCAGATTCTTGCACAGTCCATAGCGGCTGATGTTCTTAGGTTGACCTTTTGGCTTTCTTCCAGAGCTTGGATTACGATCGCTGTATCAATGACCCATACTTGGAAGTTTTGGAGAGCATGGACAACAAGGTAGGAACTTGTTTGTTTCAGCTTTTAGTATCTTGAGAGCTAAAGCTGTAGAAAGTCCACCTTTTTCTGATCTCTGTATGTTCCTTTGACCAGGCTCGTTTATTTGTTTATTTTTTTTAATCCTATTTCTAAACAGAAAGCCCGAAACTATGAAGCAGTGAAATGGGTGATGGTTTTTGCCATTGGAGTCTGCACGGGACTGGTAAGGATCATGCTGTTTGGGAAGAGATCAGCAGGAATAAGTTAAAGTCAATGGCAAAGGAGGGAAGCTGAGTAAATATTTACGTTCATGAAGTGAAGAACTTCCTGGCTGGAGGTGGCTTTTGGGAATTAAAGCACAGTATTGATGCATTATATTCCAGGAGAGCTTTTTTCTTCTAGATGTTGCTGTGTTTTCTCTGCAAAGTATTCAGACAAATTCTTTAACTTTGCAGAACTTGTCCAAAATGAGCACTTAATCAAACAGAATGCCAGTTTACAGTCGAGCTGAGTTTGTTTGGCAGTGTAGACTTTGCTGTATGTTCCTGAAAATCAGCTTTTCTGACTGTATGCCTCAGTTAAACATCAGCTTTCTTCTGTACCCCAATGTAAGTTGTAGGTGTTAAGAATGCTACCAGATTAATGCTCTGAAGTGGAATAATCCTAGGATAGATCTGTCTCAGTGAGAACAAGGGAGGCACTGAATTTAAGCTTCCCAAGTTACTTTGCTCTGAATACTTACTCTGCCTTCTTCATCTTCTGTCCTCTCACGTGTGTGTATTCCTGGTAGGGCTTGCTAGAGGCTGGTCTTTGTTGCTTGCATGTAGTGATTTCTGATGACAGGTCTGTCTTCTTTTTCATAGGTGGGCCTCTTTGTGGATTTCTTTGTACGGCTCTTCACCCAGCTCAAGTTCCGGGTTGTACAAAGCTGTATCTTTTACCTGATGGTTGGAGTCCCGTTGGACTCTGTGACCCTTTTCTTGTCATGTTTTGCTCAGAGCAGCTGATTCTTTTAGACTTTTGCCGTCGGTCACATTGTTGATTAATCAGGTTTTAATTTGCCTGTGAAACCCTTGAAACCAAGAAAGTAGTTTCAGAATCAGTATGTGGGCAAAGGCTGATCTCTGAAAGATCGAGTTGTTTCCCTTCCTCATAGCTCACCCTTGAGCTCTGGCTGGGTGATTGGCTCTCTGATGAGTGCTCATCTGCTCTGCCCGGAGTTGGAAGCACAAGTTTGGCTCTTGGTGCCAGCCAACACCGAATGACTGTGTGATGGGAAGAATGTTGTTGCTTTCCTTGACCCTCCATGCAGCGGTGGAAGAATGCACTGAGAAAGGCTGTCTTGCCTTGTCTTTACTGGAGCTGCTGGGATTCAACTTGACCTTTGTTTTTCTTGCAAGTCTTCTAGTCCTTATCCAGGTAAGACTTAAGACTGTGCTGCACTTCGTACATTCTTCCTTTTCTCTCACATGGGTTCTAGGTAGGAAGCTTCCTTCCTGCCCACAGCCCAAGGCAACCAACTAACTTCACAGTGCCGTTTGATTTAGCTAAGTAATGTCTCTTGATCCCTGCTGTGCCCTCTGACTGAGGTGGGGTGACACCTGAGATGTTGTCAGTCAGCTTTGACATCAGTGCAGCACAGCATCAGTGTTTCCTTTCTGCAGCCTGTGGCAGCTGGATCAGGAATCCCTGAAATTAAGTGCTACCTCAATGGGGTAAAAGTTCCAGGGGTTGTGCGGCTCTGGACGGTGGTGTGCAAAGCTGTGGGAGTGCTCTTCAGTGTAGCAGGAGGTAAGAAGGGCTGTGACGTCTTGTTGGGGCACGGAATCACTGAAGGGAGAGAAACGAAGGGGAGGGTGCAGGAGGCTTCTCTGTCTTTCTGGTGAAATGATTTTGATGGGCTAGTTGTGAGAGTCAGTAAGACAGAAGGGATGGAACTGTTAAGAGAACAGGTGCTCTTCTAGGTGGGTTAGCAAGAGGCGTCTCCGTCTGAGAGGGAGACGTGAGAATTGTTCAGAACACATTACCTGGAGCAGTCTGAAGGAGGCTGTGTTGTACGCAGCAGGGCTCACAGTAACCTGGGGAGTTCAGAGTCATTGAAGGAGTAGTTGTAGAATATTTCTGCCTGATTTCCAAGTCTGTTCACAAATCTTTGTGGGGCACAAAGGGTTCAACAGCTCCCTTTCCCTTGAGAGGAGCCTGGAGTCAGCTTAGGTACTGGAAACTTCTTCTGTACCTTATGGCCTGGTACAGAGGAGCTGTGTCATGGGACACACGGTGGGAGTGGTGAGATGATCTGTCCTGGTACTGTCAGCAAGGAAGAGGGCAGGAAATATGCTGGCTACTTTTAGTGAGTACTGTTGGTGATAGGTGGATGATTGGACTGGATGATCTTGAAGATCTTTTCCAACCTTGGTGATTCTGTGTGACTTATCAATCTTATTTTTCCAGGTCTTTTTGTTGGGAAGGAAGGTCCAATGATCCACAGTGGTGCTGTCGTGGGTGCTGGTTTGCCCCAGGTTAGTGCTGGCCTGGGCAGAAAATCATTCTGTTCTCCAAGACATTGATCAGGGACCAGCAGTCCACACCACTTACTTACTACTCACAGTACTTGTAAGAGTACTGTGAGTAGTAAGTTTCTGTCACCTGTATTTCTAAATCTTTACTTTCTTTGTAGTTCCAGAGCATCTCACTGAGGAAGATCCAGTTTAACTTCCCGTATTTCCGCAGTGACAGGTACTGTCTGCAGGATGAGGAGAAGAGGGAAAGGGGAGGGAGGGGTGAATTGAGCAGGCTTCCTTGGGAGAAGGGCGGCTGCCTGAGATGAAATCAGTCACTTGTGTTTTTTCTGCAGCCTCATTCTGCAGCAAGACAGCAGCAGGATAACTAAAGTGACTCTTCACTGCTGTCCTTAAGGGATCCCAGCTCTGATCTCCATGTTCACCAATGTTCTTTCATGCTGCTCAGCAAATCTCTACCTACTTAAAACCTTTAATCTGAATAGTTAAATGGTTTCATTGTTGGTAACAAGCTCAGTTATGCAGCCTCTAAAACCAAGATAGGCTCCAGAGAAGGCAGGTCCACCTGAATGTGAATAAAAACTTGCCCTTCCCTCTCTGGAGTTCTTCCAGGTGATGCTGGAGCACCATGGTGTGAGATGTTTCCTTGTATACTCAGCAGTCACGTAGCACCATGGTGCTTTGCTCTGTATTGGTGCTCTAGAAAAAGAGCGTGGTGCTGCAACAGCTTGCTGATCAAATGGTGTTGTTCTCCATGGCCAGTACTTCTCCCAGCTGCTACTCATGTATCCCCAGTATATATCGATAAATGGGGGCTGTTCCTTATGATGTACAATCTATAAGCACATTCACAGCTCTCTGCTGCTAAACTGGTGTTCTTTTCCTCTTCAGGGATAAAAGGGACTTTGTATCTGCTGGAGCAGCTGCAGGGGTTGCAGCTGCCTTCGGAGCCCCAATTGGGGGTACTCTTTTCAGCCTGGAAGAAGGTTCCTCCTTCTGGAACCAAGGGCTTACATGGAAAGTGGTAAGCAGTGCCTGGCGCTCTCTGTATGTCTCTTCCTTGAGCTGGACCTTGAAGAGAACTTGTCTGTGAGGGCATTCTCAGTATCCTGTGTCTCGTCCTGAGCCCGCCTGGTAGTGGAGAGATTGCTTTCTCTATCAGTGCCCCAGAATTAATACAGATCAAGGGCAGATAGTAATCTGCTACTATCCAGAACTACGAGACAGCTTTGTAGGTGGCATAGTTTTCTCAGGTACGTGAGAGAAAAGGCTTTTATGCCTGGGCCTTTGCAGCCCGTTTCTGTGAGAGCGGAGCAAGCAGGTGATGAATTTCTTTCTGCTGTCCTGTGCCTTGGGGAGCTGTACTGCAGCAATGCCCTGTGCATTCTACTTGGGGGTTTTTCTGCCTGCAGTGTTTGGTTTTGTGAAGTTGACAGTTTTTCTAACGGTGTGTCGTATCTCATTATGTTTTTGGTGTTCCTTACACAAAATGCCCTGTTGGTGGGATTCAGTTAGTCTGCTGTTTCTCAGCAGGGATAAGAGGAGCCAGGGATTTGCTAACATGGCAGTTCTATCAGAGCCAATGAAGACCTCAATTCCCCCTCTAAACAAGCTGTTAGTGCCCTGTAATTGTTTTTTAACTGTAAATTACTGTATCTGATTAAAAAAAAAATGCTGGAGGAATTACTGGGTGACATTCCTAATTCTTCTTATGTGGGAGGCCAGATCAGTTGATTATAGTAGTGCCTTCTAAGCCTGCTCTCTTTTGGAGCAGGAAATGGGCACCCTCAGTAGGACTGTTTTCATAAAGGTTCTGATGCACCTTTCTCCAGCCATAAGTGCCAAGGAGGGGCTGACTGTGCCAGTTCTAATTCTGATTAATTAATTTCTTTCCATGTATTAACTTCCTTAGCTTTTCTGTTCCATGGCTGCCACCTTCACCCTGAATTTCTTCCGCTCTGGGATTCAGTTTGGGAGTTGGGGGTCTTTTCAGCTCCCTGGTCTGCTGAACTTTGGAGAGTTTAAGGTAAGATTTAGCAATGTGGTTTTTCCCCTCTGGTCAGTTCAGTGTTTCTTGCTGGTTTTGTGGGTGGGTGTGTGTTTGATTTAAGGGCAGTTATGTTTAGCAGCAGCACACTGATAGCCTAACACAGGATTGCTCCACTATGGCTGTAGCTATCTTGCTGTTAAGGCAGAAGCAGTGGCAGGAAACTACAGCTACTAATGGGTTTCTTATGCTTTGTTGCACAGTGTTCTGAGTCTGATAAAAAGTGCCACCTCTGGACAGCTGTGGACTTGGGCTTCTTCATTCTGATGGGGATTGTAGGAGGCCTTCTTGGAGCCACTTTCAACTGTCTAAACAAGAGGCTCGCAAAGTACCGCATGCGGAACGTGCATCCCAAACCAAAGCTTGTCAGGTATTTGCTCTCTCTTGAGCTTGTGCAGCTGTTCTCATGTGTGTTCATCATCCCAAAGCAAATGCATCAATTTAGAGGGCTGGAGGAAAAGCTGGATGTATTCATATTGAAATCACAAAATGAGGCATCTATAGAACTTCAGAGATGAACACCAAAAATGAATTGTTATGCTCTATCACTGTTTCTGTAATTACTAGGGTGAGGTAACAAAAGGATCTCCTTATAGGGGCTGTGAAGGGGACTCATGTTTATAGCTGAGCAAAATAGAGCTTCATCTCCATGCAGGATTCTTCTGTATCTTGTCCAAACAGATGTAGAAAGAGTAGATTGTTATCTTGTGTGGTTGAAACCACAATTAATCTGCCTGTGGCATTTAGAGAATTGCCATGCTGTTCCAGAAGCTGACTGCTGTAGGCAGTGTTCTTAAATGAGAAGCCCAGGTTTAGAGGGGAAAAGGAAAAGGTATTTCAGTAGCTGGGAGGGAGGTAGGAGAGACTGTGCATCAACCTGTCCGGTGTGTCTAGACAGAATAGTCATCTGTGTTGTAAGGATACAGAGAACTTCGTTTCCATGTGAACAGCATCATCATTGAACTCTTCCCTGTGGCTTTTTATATGTGACTGCGTGTTCTGAGAACAGAAATAGCTCCTTTAAGGGGCAGGAAATTAAAAAAGGGAGCTAATGCAATCCTGGCCACCAAGTCATAATTCAGCCTGGCTTGCAGGCTCCCCTATTTTCAAGTATTAAGCTGTGGTGTCTGCTTCTTCCTATTTCAGAGTCAGATGCCACGCTGGGCTATGGGTCTTTGTGTGGTTTCAGTGTGTGTTTTCTGCTGTGTGATTGCAGAGTCTTGGAGAGCCTGCTTGTGTCGCTGACTACAACCGTCGTCGTCTTTGTGGCCTCCATGGTCCTGGGGGAATGTCGGCAGATGTCTTCCACCAGTCGCCCTGGCAATGACACTTTGAGTACACAGGTGAGGAATCTTCCTTGATTCCATGTTTGTTGTCTTCATATTCACCCATCAGAGGACCCTGGGCAGGTGATGAGCTCCTGATGGCATGCAGTACCTACAGAAAATTTGAATGAAAGCTTATGGGCAGTTGCAGAACCTGAAGGTAATAATAAAAGCTGCAGTTTGTGCTTTTGTAGTTTGGCAAATATGTTCACACTGTGAATCAGCCTATTGATGGTGCAGGCCTAATGTCTGCCACTGTTGTTTTGGTCTGATCATCTCAAATTGTGTGCTGAGAGCCCTGTACAGAAGGGTTACTCTCGTTCTACACAGCAGCTAACATAGTAGGGGATAGATTGTAACTCTTCATATCTTTTGTGTTCTTCATCAGGGTATGTCAGAAGATGTGAATTCAAGCATCAAAACATTCTTCTGCCCAAACGAAACCTATAATGACATGGCCACTCTCTTCTTCAACCCTCAGGAGTCAGCTATCCTCCAGCTCTTCCATCAAGATGGTGAGTAGCTAGCAGGCAGTGCCTTGTGCTATTCTTAGGGTTCAGAGCTTCATCTTGCTTGAAAACAGTCTTGTTGCAAGAACAATAAAGCTAAAAGCATCTTCAAGCTCAGGGGGCTGCTGGTACAACAGAGTAAAGACCTCTCCATGACAAGAAAGGCCTGCTTTTCCTACTTTTCTGCTTACTTACTGTCTTCACGTGTGTTTGAACTGTGAGACTGTTGTGAGATGGGTCTGCTGTGAGCCAAGGGGTGGATGGTGGAAGACTGCTATCTGTTCCACAGGCCTTTTTCCCTTTAGTCATGATTATTCTTGTGTTGCAGGTACTTTCAGCCCAGTCACACTCTCCTTGTTCTTCCTTCTCTATTTCTTACTCTCCTGCTGGACATACGGGATCTCTGTGCCCAGTGGTCTTTTTGTGCCATCACTGCTTTGTGGGGCTGCCTTCGGACGCCTGGTCGCCAACCTCCTCAAAAGGTGCATTGAATGTGTGGGAGAGCTGTGCTGCAGGTGCATGCTGAGCTCTCAGTCAGGTTATTCTAATCTCAGGGCTCTTTGTTTTCCCCTAGCTATATCGGCTTGGATCACATCTACTCAGGAACCTTCGCACTGATTGGGGCAGCAGCGTTCCTGGGAGGGGTGGTCCGGATGACAATTAGCCTGACTGTAATCTTAATTGAATCCACCAATGAAATCACCTATGGGCTCCCAATAATGATCACCCTCATGGTGAGTCTTAGCTCTGGCTTCTCGAGCGTGTGCCAGCCCTGAATCTCTCTCCTTCCCATGGCCACCTTGAGCCTAGAAGTCTTTTACTTGGAGCAACAACTCAGTAGGCCTTCTGTTTGCTCCACAGGTAGCCAAATGGACAGGAGACTTTTTCAACAAAGGAATCTATGACATCCATGTGAACTTGAGAGGAGTGCCTCTTCTGGAGTGGGAAACAGAGGTGGAAATGGATAAGTAAGGCTGCTACTCTTGGCAGGGCTGTGGGTTAGAGTTTGTCTTAGAAATATTCCTCAGAAAGGAATGTTGTAATGGGAGGATGTTGCTGTGTGTCCAACAAACGTGGCTGCATCAACTACTGTGAGAGGAGCTGGAAGTTGTGCATCAGGCCTGAGCAGGAAATAGGTGCTGGCGCCCTTGGTGAGGAGGGTTGGACAGGTGGAGATCTGAGGAGCAGATGAGATGCATGCAGCAATCTTGGATTTTTCTGTTTCCTCAGACTACGAGCCAGTGACATCATGGAACCCAACCTGACCTATGTCTACCCCCACACCCGGATCCAGTCCCTCGTTAGCATCCTGCGCACAACTGTTCATCATGCCTTCCCTGTTGTGACTGAGAACCGGGGCAACGAGAGGGAGTTCATGAAGGGAAATCAGCTGATCAGCAACAACATCAAATTCAAGGTAAGAAGCTGCTGCTTCGGTACGTGGAAGAATAAAGAGTTTGGTTGTGCAGGTGGAAGACCCCTTCCTTTGTCAGTGCAGACTTCACACCAGACACGAGCACCTACCGAAATACAAAGTCTTCAGAAATGCAGTTTCATTCCCATTCCCCTGATCACGACAGAGGCAGAACAGAGGGCTGCATTTCTAGAAGCAAAAGCGAGGAAGGGTTCCTTTTAAGTAACCAGTTCAGGATAGACATGGAAAAATTCTGGATTCAGCACTGAAGTATTGAATCCACATTTGAGACTGATAATAATTGCTAAATGCTTCTCTCTTTCACATAAGGAGGATGGGGGAAACATAAACTTAAGGTTGCAGTGACTAATGTGGTGTACCCGTGCTCTAGCAAAAAGGGTGCCTGACTTCCTAAGCAAACAGTTTGTAGTCACTCTTTGACAATTATTGACCTGCTCAGTGAATATCTCAACACTGCTGTGCACAGAAATCCAGCATTCTCACCCGAGCTGGAGAGCAGCGCAAACGGAGTCAGTCCATGAAATCCTATCCTTCGAGTGAGCTGCGCAACATGTGCGATGAGCACATAACGACAGAGGAGCCACCAGAGAAGGAGGATTTGCTGCAGCAAATGCTGGAGAGAAGGTGAGATCATGAAGGTTTGGAAACTGGGTTTTTCCCCATTACTTCGTATGCTGGAGGAAGCAGTATCAGCATCCGTGTTTTTTACAACTGTTGTCAGGACTCATTAGGCAGTGCTGGAACCTGCACTGAGTCCTAGGATGATAGTTTGATGCTGACTGGCCTTTTAATTTAGATTTCCATCAAGTACCCACACAGAAATACTACCTGGAGAGGATGGACTACCTGGGGAAATGCCTTTGCTGTAGAAATTGATGCCTTATTTTCTGCAAAAAAAACCTGAGAGCTCAGTGAAGCTCGTTCCTCCCAAAAGAGGAGCTAATGAATTTCTTCTGTAGTTCTTGATACCACCTTTCTGGTAACTAGGCAGAGTCACTAGGCATGTATTGCAGTTGTTTCCAAGCAGAAGCCCAGTGTGGTTAATCAGTTTCTAACCTAGTGATTGTGACATGTATGGGTGGAGTTACACACTGACATCCCACCAGGTACTTCAGCTTTTATTAGAATCTGAGTAATTTGGCACTGAAAATTGCTTTAGTAGGAAGCGAACTTAAACTGATAGTTAGGAGGCTATTTCCATTCTGCTGCTGGTGTAATGCTCTTTCCGTGGTAATAGCATCTGACCCTTCTCTGCTTGTCTGGAGAAATGACTTGTTTGTCCCTAGCAAGAATCCCTGAAATATTCTGGAGAAGGTTGCGAAGACCAGAAATAGCTGTTGTTTTGGAGGAAGGGATGTGTGTTTCTCCTTATGTTCAGGCAACTTACTGCGTGCATTTATTCACAGATACACTCCTTACCCCAACCTGTATCCTGACCAGTCTCCCAGCGAGGAGTGGACCATGGAGGAACGTTTCAGACCTTTGACCTTCCATGGCTTGATCTTGCGCTCGCAGCTGGTCACCCTCCTTGTCAGGGGTGTTTGTTACTCCGAGAGCCAGTCAGTGAGTCTTCCTAATCTAGAACTGTAGCAAAGACATCTCTGCCCTCAGAGCTGGGGACAATACTTATGGGCAGACAAGAGCATTTTACCTATTTTTACATCTTACATCTAAGGAGATAAGCTACTGTATTTGGGATGAAGAAAATTGGCTCATGCGAGTTTTTGTTGCGTGAAGGTGCAAGTGAAACTGGGAATGGAGAGTAGATCTTAAAACACAAGGAGGGCAACCAGCAGCATATACTGTGTGTTCTTGCTGCCAACAAGCCAAGCTTTTACCAGGAGATTTTCAGCTATTGCTGAAATCGTTACGAGCATTTGTGTTTGGGGCCCAGTTTCCACAATCCTGTTTTGTTCCTTCCCACGTGTTCATAGAATCACAGAATCTTTGAGTTGGAAAGGTCCTTAAAGGTCGACTAGTCCAACTCTCCTGCAGTGAACACCTACAGCTCGATCAGGTGCTCAGAACCCCATTCATCCTGACTTGGGAGTCCAATCCTTGGAGATATTCAATCCATGCCAGTGCTTCACTGTTATTGTTTAAAACAAAAACAAAACACACACTTCTTCCTTGTATCCAATCTATATCTCCTCTGCTCTAGTTGGAAACCATTTTTCCCTTGTCCCACTACTACAGACCCTGCTAAAGAGTCTGTCCCCTTCTTAAATACTGACAGGCCCTGGAGCCTTCTTTTCTCCTTGCTGCACAGCCCCAGCTCCTAACCTGTCCATGCAGGGAGGTGTTCCATTTTTGTGGTCCACCTTTGGGCACGCTCCAACAGGTCCACATGTCTCTGTTTTGAGGATTCCACATCTGGACACAATACTCCAGGTGAGGTCTCACCAGCGCAGAGCAGAGGAGAAGGATCACCTCCCTCAACCTGCTGGCTATGCTTCTTTTGATGCTGCCCATGACATGGTTGGCTTTCTGGGCTGTGTGGGCACACTGCTGCCTTACATCCAGCTTGCCAGTACCCTCAAGTCCTTTTCAACCAGGATGTATCAGAGTTTGGAGAGCATATCCATTACTCTGTTCATATGAGATGAGATGAGCAACTAGGAGGAATGCTTTTAGAGAAGGTATTTTTATGTGGGCAGAGGAGGAAGGCAGTCTGAATAAGCGTAGGGCATTGAGAAGCATTGTTAACTGTGCTGCTTGCAGGCTGTGAACTACGTGGGAAGGTGGCAGCTTGATTCAGTGGCATTTGTTTTAATTGCAGAGTGCAAGTCAGCCTCGTCTGTCTCATGCAGAAATGTCAGAGGATTATCCCCGCTATCCAGATATCCATGACCTGGACCTCACATTGCTGAACCCTCGCATGATAGTGGTAAGAGATGCACTGCAATGTGACAGTGCTTCCTGATAAACATTCAGAGCTGTTTTAAACCTTTAAGAAGAGCTAAGAGTACAGTTGAGTCCAACCTTCTGTGCAGTGGCCAACATCACATGCTTTTCATGCATTCATCCAGCCTTGTTTACAAGTGGGAGCATCACTGTGGACCTACATTTATCCTGCTTAGAGGATTTATGCAGCATTAAGCTTTTCTTAAGATTACGGGTTAAAACCAATTGTGTCAAATGAGGTTTCTGAAAATGAAACAACTTTGTAGAGAAATACAATACTCCCATGGGTGGATATGCTGTCTAGAGATCAGAAAGTTGGAGGGGCTGCAGAAATTGCTTCTTAGTGATTTCCAGAACTACTGTAAATGCCTTCTGTAAATAATACCCTGTTTTTTCTTTCTTAGGATGTCACCCCCTACATGAACCCATCACCCTTTGCTGTTTCTCCAAACACTCATGTATCTCAAGTCTTTAACTTGTTTAGGACAATGGGGCTCAGACATTTACCAGTTGTGAACGCAGTTGGAGAGGTAAGTTCTTATCTCAGTTTTGTCTCTGTTAAACAAGGAAGCAGATTTGTTTTGTTTTGTTTTTTGCAATGCTTTCACTTTTAAGAGAGTTAAGATCTGTTTTAATATCAAACAGGCACATTTTAATGGAGTCAGAATGTGGTGGTCTTAAGACTCTGGAGCACTGTTAATTGCTGTGACTTCATTACCATCTTTAGTTTGCAACTCTGCTCCTTGTCTTCACCCAAAGGGTGGGACACGCAGTCTGCCTCCTCTCTCAAGTTATAACAGCACGTGGAGGCATGTCTTGTACCTTTTTAAGAGCCCTTGAGCTCATAAGAAGTCACCAGTTTCACTTATTTAACAGCTTTATTCAAGACCAAAAGTAGAATTTCCCATATGGTGGGACAGGAGGTTTTCCTGTTGGACAGGAGCTTGCATCCTGTTCTTGTAGGGACAGCAGAAAAAATTGTGCTTGTTTCACCATAGTTGTCTCTCTGCCATCTACAGTGTGCAGGAGTAGTCAGTAGGTGTCAGTAACTTCCTATAAGCATAATGAGAAGGTGTTTCCCTTAAGCCTCAACAGGGAGGCAAAATCCTGATGTTAATAGCCAGAACTGGTCTGTCCAAATGAGACAGCAGTGCTGTCTTTGCCTTTGGGTGTTCCTAATAGCTACCCTAAATAACTTGTTGGAAAACACGTGCTGTAAACTCATTCCACATTTAATACAAGATGCTTCTGTGGTACCAGAGAGCAGCCCAGCTCTGAACTCTCACTGTGTAAAATTACTGAGCTGTTTCATTGGCTGAGATGTGTAGTTTGACTGTTTCCCAGCAGTCTGGCAGAGAAGGCCCCTTTGGTGACCTGCTAGTCACTGACAGTCAGTGTGCATTCACCACTTTGCTGATTTTACTGCTTCATCTTCAGAGCTTCTTAGAATTTCTTGTGAGCAATCTGCCATCCTTTCACGTGGCAAACAAGAGATGTCTCTAATGAAGCCATGTGAGACAGCTTTGACATTTCCAATAGCTTTCCCTTCATAAGCAGGGGTGCCTATTGTGTCCAGACACAGCAGGAGCTAAGCTATCCATTCGGGTGTCATTAAAGCAGTGTACCTTGCCTGTAGATGTGTGCTTCAAGAAGGGGCTGTAGGTTTGGAACTACTATGCACACCCCTTAGTGGCACGTCTGTGATACTGACACGTCTTTCTTTCCTTTTCTTCTTCCTCTTTAAGATTGTTGGGATAATCACTCGGCACAACCTGACCCACGAATTCCTGCAGGCGAGGCTGAGACAACACTATCAGACCATTTGATGCCCCTGCCCATCCTGCCCCACTGCTGGTGTGGCTGCCTCCCTCTTCCAAGCCCGCACACGCGCTTGCATTCTGCTTGGATCCCACAAGGCCCAGGACTGGCCATTTGGCTTCTCACACGCATATCAAGCCTGGGGAGCTGGGAAACATCTTGCTAGCCAGAGAATTAGAGGAACTGCTTGAGCCCAGAGCTACTGACTAGTCTCAGGCACTTGGTTTGACCACTCTTCATCCAGGTTTTTTATGTTCCTGTGCCCTAGCCTTTCATCAGGTGTTGTCCCAGCAGTATACGTTCTGCTGTTTAGGTTTGGTTTATTTTTGAGGCTTGGATGAAAGAACCATCTAGCACCACCGTACCCTGTGCAGAGAACTGCAGTATCTTTTCCCTGTCCTCCTGTGCATCTCCCTTCTCCTCTTCCTCTCTTGTTCCTGCAACTTTTGCCTTACCTGTGTAAGAGGGGAATAGCTGTTAAGGCTGAGAGGAGATAATGAAGTTATCAAATTGCTGCTTTGGAAGATGGCTTTTCTGAAAAGCAGCATAAACAGCCAACTCTCTGGAAATGCACATCACTTTGTGGGTGCTCTCAATTTCTCATATTTTTTCCACCCTTGCCTCCTTTTTTTTTTTTTTTTTCCCCCCTAATTTTTCTACTCTTCCCATGGGAGAGTGTCCTTTCTGTAACGTCTTTTGACAACAGCTGACTTTTGAGAATATTTTGGAAAATCATGAGTTCAAAACAGTTTAATTCTAGTTACTGCCTGGACTATAAATATTTAATACACTTACAGAGCATCTCAGAGAAGGGAGATTTCTTTTTCCCTCTTAGCTGTTGCTACCATTATCTCCCTGCAAGAGATGCTCCTAAGGTACGTTGTGGCACTCAACTTTGTCACCACTTGACACTCCTGCATTTATAGGTACTGTGTTCTTGTAGTGACCCAGCAGGGAGAGCCAGGGACACCTTTCCAATACAGCTACAGACCAGCTATAACTCTGTAGTGAGAGGAGCTGGTGTAACTTGAGGCTGCCATGCAGGAGGGATACTTGGTGCTGGTGACTGGCAGTTAGGGCTGCACAGCAGGTTGGTAAGTGAGGCTGTCTGGCTCTGAAAACGATTGGAATGACATTTGTAACTGCAACAGCCAAATGTCTGTAAGGGTGAAAACAGCATTTAAAAGCCAGTTGCAGCCAGTTCACTGCTTTAGCAGGTACCATCCTGGCCAGCACCTGTATTGTTCCAGCAGGCACCTGCCTTTTTGAGTTTTGCATGCAGATAACTGTGGGTGGGAAGCCAACATTGTGCCTCCAGGGGTTGCAGTGTTGATTATCTTGATAAAGCACAGAGCATTCTCTCAGCCAAGAGACTGGGCTAAGTAATGTGTCCCAGGAAAGCTTCTGCACAGTCTCTGAGCACTCCTTTTAACCTGTTGTCTGCCATAAGGACCTAGTGAGGTGAGAGATGCAGCAGAAAGAAATTGGCCGTTATTTTATGTTCTGAAATAAGGAATTCATGTATGTTGAAGCTTTACCTGACCGAGCCTGAAGAAATGGTGACCTTTCCTTACATGTGTAAACACTACATCTGTTAGAGCAGCCTCTTGACTTTGTGGAGGCTAACTGTTGCAGCACAGTGCTCTGCAAGCTGCTGCAGCCAGGGCCAGGAGGTTTTGAGTTCAGGGCACCAGCTGTAGTCTTCAGATGGTTCTTCAAGTCACAGGAGCTCCTTAGGTGATGGTGTTGTCTTTGCAGTCTGGGTATCTGAGGCACAGATACATTCTCTGGCTGTGCTTGCAAGAAAGATGGTCAAGTCGTGGGATGCACTTGATTTTTGTCCTGCAGATGAGAGATGGGTTGTGAAACAAAGTGTTGAGACAGAATTGGCCCTTGTCTTATGGAGCACAGCACAGCTCTGCTGGAAAGATTTTTATCAAAGCTGTTCATAAGCACTTAAATTTTTTTTAACTTTTATTTTTTAATTCCCAGGACCATTTATTAGCCATGGCTGCTTTCCAGGGTTGATCAAAAAGGCACCTACACTAAAGAGCAGAAACTGATCTGTTCTTTTCTCTTTCTTAACTGTGGAGCTTGTAGCGACAGCTCTTGCTCCTCCACTGAAAGCAGTTCTGCTGGCTTCTGAATGCGTTGGGTCCATTTCAGGTAAGGCAAGCAAGCTCTTAAACTTACTAGACTGAAGAAAGGTGTTTTCCTGCAGGCAGTACCCATCTTGTGCCTTCAATATCAACTCCTTAGCTGGGGCAGATGTAGCATTGTTCTTAGACCATGCAAGCTGGTATTGGCTTCTGCTGTTGACTTCCAAGTTGTTTCGCTGTGTGTGGAATAAGGTGGTTTTCTCTGGATGAACTGCAGTTGCTTTTTAAAACTTGTTTTTTCCCTGAAAACTGGTCTTGCACTAAGCTACCCTGAGAAACTTCCAGCACACCTTTGCACTCCCTGAAGCTGAATTATTTAAAATATGCTTCTGCTAACTTTCCTTTCATTCAAAGGATTTGTGCTCAAGCTGTTACAGTCCCATACTGTCAGAGAAGCTCTCAAGGAGTGCTCTGTGTGTCTCCATGGCAAATCCTTTTCTTCTTGCTCATGTTGAGTGATTGTGTGGAAGGTTTTCTTTCATTCCCTGCTTTATTTCTCTACACAAGTTGCAGCAGATGATGTAGCTGCAGAATTTCCTCCCCTCAACGCCTGGAGTTTGTCTTGCTTAAATCACCAGGCGAAAAATCTTGCCAAAGTTTGTTTGAGGACCAGCTGCATCCTCATGAGAAAGTTCAGTCAGCTGTCAGCACTGTCTGCCCTGCCTGCACATCTCTCTGATTCAAACCTTCCTGCTGCAAAGCGCGCCCATTTCACCCGGTCAGTACAGAAATCTTAACTAATGATAGCAGGTGACTCCCAGCTTTTTTTTTTGAGGGGAAATCTGAGTGTGCACTCACTGGTTACATGACTTGCAGAAGGAGAATTGCAAGTTATGTGATGATTGGAGATGCAGAATTTCATCTCTGCCTAAATAAACCACTCGTGTTGTCACACTTTGCTGCTCACTGCATTCCTTTCTAACAAGACCCTCACTGCTTTTCTTCTGGTTAGTTGGTGGTTTACCAAGGCATTTACTTTTAGCATAGGTGCCTATAACCTGTTACTCAAAACAACACTAAAGGATTAGGAACCAAGAACTGGATTAGTATTTATGGCAGAAGTTTGGGGTAATGTGGGGCGCCTGCCTCATGGTTTCCTGTGCAGTGTTAATTAACTGTGAGCCATTCCAGTGGTAGCAACTTACCTTTCCATTTGTTTCTTTTTGCACTGTTTTTGTTATGAAATGATGTAAGCTAATTCCACGGTGTATATAAATTGTATTATTATTTTTTAAATTTGTATGAACTCATTTTTATTTGAACGATGGCACTTGGGAAGTGTTTGTGTAACCATATGTCGTGAACCCATGACTCCATAACATGTCTAAGAGTAAAATGTTCGTGTGTCTCCTTCAGCACTTCAAGGCCTTTTGATGTTTCTAGTGTTGTCTTATTTTTGCTCTTTGTTGTAATAAAACTGATAGAACTTGGAAATACCCACGATCATGATTGGAGGTAGTGGAGTAGTTGCTGTCTATGAGCTATCTGGATCTAAGTTTATGCAGAAGATGCCCTGAGGCTAGACAGAAATGGAAATTCTTACAAACCTTTACATTGCAACCACTCTAGCTCTTTATTCTCTCAGAAAAGGTGTTTAAGAGGCAGAAATGAACAGATATTTGATAAGGAGCTGCATTATGCATGCTGTGCTAGAAGTGACTGCTGCTTTTCTCACTGGGGAACTCATGCTTTCCACTCTCCTCCACATAACCCGTGTTTAGAGTGCAATATTGCACCTCTTGTTTTACAGATATCTCCGAATGAATCTTAATTTCATGTTTAGCTCCTGTTTTTGAGCATACAGCCAAGAAGTTGTGGCAAATTTTGATCTTTCATCACTTGCTTATAGTCTAAAAACGTAAGTACAGTCCTTCAGCACAGTGTAAGTACTTGACCTAAAAGCTCACTGCCTTTCCATGCTTGATTTTCTTCCTCGTGCTGCTGTGGTGTGCAGGATGCACGTAGCAGCTCTTACACGAGGTCAGCCATGATAGGCATGGCCTGAAATGGGTGAAAGCTTCTGTTGGGAGGGGATAGCAGATCCTGCTGCGGGCTCTAAATAAGTGATGTGATCCTCTTAAGGTGCCTTCCTAGGAAGGAATCACGAAGAGAGTCAACAAAATAGTAAGGGAGGAAAATGCCTCAACCCTTGGTCATAATGCAGTAACACAGAAGGAAATGAGAGACATTAATTGTCTTCTTAAAACCCATGCACATCAATACTGCCTTAGTATAGCAGTAAATAAAGGAGGTAACAGGCTGCCACTCATCTGTCTACTTTCTCTCCCAGAGCACACACACAAAGAAGAGACTTCTGGTCATGTTTTCAGGAGCAGCTTGTCAGTTTGGTGTGATATCAACCTTCTTGAAGAAAATGCAAGCAGTGATGTATCTTGCTTGAAGAACAGCACCTGTTATTTGTTTTATCAGGGGTGATAGAGGTGGTTATGAGAAAAGCTGTGCAATAAGTTCATGCTTAAAGCAAGCTGCTTCATATTTAGCTTTAAGTCCCTTTTTACCAAGATTTATAGGCTCATCAATTAAACCATGTGTTACAGTCCCTGTCTATGTAACAGAAGTCAGTGTTGCTCAATTTCTTCGCTGGCAACATACGAACCACCATCTTCAGCAGGTTTGTATACATGTACAGCTGTGTGTCATGCAGTGCATACATAGAAAGAAACAGGATGGCCACCCCAGGCTTTCATTGCATTTGATGAGAGGATGAACCTTCTTGTCCAAGTTTCTGAAGTGTGTTTCAGCAGTGCACTGGGATGCACTCAGCCTCTGTAGCATCCACTGTAGTGTGTAAGAGTTCTTTCACAGCTGCAATGAGCTGGCAGCAAGTTGCCCCCCTTCACCATCTCAGGAGTGAGGGGTATTGGTTTATCAGTTTCAATGAGATTTAGAGGTTGCTGTATGTATGATCAAGGTGTCCCCTTCTCCAGGCTATTTCAGAGCTACAGAAAGAAAAGGATGAGTCTGGGAGCCTGGTACCCACTTGTGTAGGTGAATGTTGGAAACAGCACTGTGCTGAAGATCTCACAGCTGTAACAGAGAAGGCAAGACAGCACAGAGAGCCTTGCTGACTCACCCAGCATCTCCTTGCTGCTTATACCTGAGAGCGTCTCTGTGGGATGCCCAGCTTTACACATTGATCTGATCTTTCTTTTTTTTCCTTCTCGATTCCCAACATAAAAAGCCTTTCTCAGTGCTTTGTCTTTAAAGAATAAAAGAAATTCCCTCTCCTCACAACTCTGCTTCTTTTTCTATGCAGGATTCTGCTGGTTCTCTGAGACATCAAGTGGGAGATGGGAAGGGAAAGTCTGACAAATGCTTTCTTTGCACATAAAAGACCCCAAACTCTGATTACAGCTGTAAGCTGCTGCTTTCTTTGGAAATATCACTTGGTGATAGAATCTGCTGCGAGGAAAACAATTTATGTGCGATACAGCCTTTTGTTCATGAGTTGTACTGCTGGGAGGGGGACAGGTGTGCCTGTGACTTCAGATTCAGCGCACCAGTTGTACCACTTCCTTTCATTTTGTTCAGACAGGATGACAGGAGGAGAGGGCTCGGATGGTTATTACAAGTGATCAGTAAAAAGAATCCAAGACGGCAGCAGTTTCTGAGGGCCAGCAATGATGTGTGAGAGCTCCCTTCTGTGACCTTAAAGCTTCTTCCTGCCTTGTTTTGTTCATGGTTTTTTCTTCCTTCTCCTTACTGTGAGGCTGTAATCTTGAGACCCCCACCTCTTTCTACTTGTGCTGATGGCTGGAATAGCACTTAAAGAACGAAGCCCGTTGTGTTCTTTCTCTCGCTCTGTTGAAGGATTGGGCATTAGAGACAGCAGAAGGTTTAAAGTTGATTGTCCACTAGCTCTCACTGGAATGGCAGTGGTACAACCCTAGCAGGGAATGACGGTCCTGGGACAACTGCTGCAGGGCACACTCAGTTCATTTTGAGGCTTCATGATCGAAAAGTGTGAGTGTAAGAACCCCAGACCAACTGAACTGCTTTCCCAAATGAGGCTGTATGGTGTGTAAGAAGCACACCTGTATCATTACTGCATGTCCAAGTTCAAAGGAAAGAAAGCTGCTCAATAATGTACCACCGGTCAGGGTTACTGCCAGAAGCTGTTACAAAGAAAGGATGGAGTGTGGCGTTGCAGGAGGTGGCAAATGTCACTGGAGCCTGGTGGAGAGTGCTGGGCTGGTCCTCCTCTGATCTCACTGGGATGTTCCTTCCTTTGCACGGTAGCACTCGGGTACATTTTCTGTGCTGTGCATCATCTACTGTGCTGTTGGTGAAGGTTTGTGAAGAGCTCCGACGCCCAACAGCATGGAGGAGGGCTGGATTTCAGAGCTGTCCTGAGCTCGGTGCTGAACAGTTGCTTGTAACGTAGTTGCTGTTATCTGCATTTGCCATCAGCTCTTGCTTTGCTGCAATAGCTTGTCCCAGGGGCATCCTATTTCTGAATTGTTTACCATTACAAGGTACGCTGGCTCCTTGTCTCAGCTCTGACTCATAGCACAGCTGCTAGAGCAAAACTGAAGTGCCTGGGTGTGTGGCCGCTGGCCTATTTCCTACACTGTTAGCAGTTCCTTCTGCAAACCTTGCCTTGCCTTAGGGGCAGTTTCTCTGGAAGGCATGTGTCTGTAGGTGTGAAGACAGTAAGAATACATTAATCTTTGGTTCATGCTCTCACAGCAGACTGGTGTTGCTTATTTCTTCTCTTGTGCAGTTCCTTCTTTGTTTCCAAAAAGTTCTGCCAGGATTAGTTTCCAAAATGCACAGGCACTGAAAGGCAGATCCTCTACAAACCTGAAGAAAGCCTCCTCATGTTTAGATGTGGATTCATGCAAGATTGACTGCTGCTGTAAGAGAGCACATCCCAGTTAGAAGGAATCGCTGCATCCTTTCATGGCTGGCACGTGCAGCTGTGCAAATTACTGCAATGAAAACAGCAGAAAGGAATAAAGAGTCATCAGGTGTCAGCTTCTGTCTGCACGAAGGGGAAAGACTGCAGTGTGGATTTAGCACCTTCTGTTGCATACAGGAAAACAGGACCCTCCTTTGGATGTTTGAGCCATGAGCCCAACCACAGGTTGCTAGGAAGAGGAGTTCAGCTTTCAGGTGCCCTTACTTTCTCCATGTGGAGTGGGTTGCTTTTGTCCTATGCTTGTTTGGGACTGTCTGTTCCCTCTTCTGTGCTGTGGTAGCTCTGCTTCTCCTTGGGTGAGATGCTCTTTGCACATAGAGCTGATCAGTGCTGAGTTTCAGCTTTTCCAAGTGCTCTTTCATGCACTCAATCCTATTCTGACCTGTCTGCACGATTTCCCCAGGGGAGGTTTATAGCTCAGTTTATGGGAGTAGCACTAAAAATCTAGCCACAGAGATGCGTTTTTCCTAAATTGCCAGCTCTCAATTAAGCTCTCCCAGGCTGCAGGGTCTATTAACATGCTGTCTGCAAGCCAATACAGACCTGTTCCACCGGGAACTGGCTTGCTCTTAATACTGGACCCACCTGGCTTTGGGTCAGGCAGTGCCAACTCTTGCCATTTTTAGCACTGAGCTCTTGAGTGTTTTGTGCCCTGGGGAGCTGAAAGGGAGGGATAATTTGCGGGGCCTTGATGCATCCGTGCAAGTTTTGCTTGACTGGGTAAAATTCAGCTCCAGTAAGGGCCGTTAGTCTTACAGCATGAGGATTGGTTTTACCTCCTTTTATAGCAGCGTGTGGGAAGTCAGGCATGCAGGCGTGTTGTTAGCACTCCAAGTTCACTACAGCTGTGGTTTTTGAGAGCTGTTGTCAACAACTGGCATGGCGCTGGCACCTTGCCTGTCCCAAGTATCATTCCTCTTCGGATAGACTTCACTGATGGGTGTTTGTGCCCTTTCACCAGTTGAGTCCACCCTGCTATGATCTTACGCTCTGAATGAGCTTTCCTGGATGCTCCAGTAATGAGTGCTGGAAACAAAACCCTAACTTGATCCTCACCATAACCCAGTTTCTGGTGGTGCGTGGACTCGCAGGATAGTTGTGTAGAGTCTGAGTTCAATGCTTTTGATCCCAAGGGGATCTTTAGGATGCTAAGTGAATGGTTCTGGCAATCTAAACCTATGGGGAGGATGTGGATTCAGATTGTAGGTGTGAGATCCAGCTACAAAAGTTTAAATGAGTAGTATTCCTGTCAGTCGTGTTCAGAACTGTGTGACTCCCAGAAAGGAATAAGTGTTATGCACAAGCTGCTCGTAACTGAAGTGATCCCACCTGCCCTCAGTACTGTGATAGCATTCATACCCTCTGAGAAGCATCAAGAAGCACTGAGCATCAGCAGCTCAACCACATGCAGAGTGAGACAAGACACAGTCAATGACGTATCTTTCTGTTGATGCTTATAGCCTTTATTTGGTCAGTGCTAGAAAGCATATACAATGAATTCCCTTTCCTCCCTCTAGTTTGCTTCTAACTTGTGGAGTTTTGCTTCAATTTTTACTTCTTTTCTTGTAAATTTTGCTCACATGAGGGATTTGTGGCAGTGGAGTGGCAGCTGCGTTGACTGAGTAATCTGTATCAGCAAAAGGACTTTCTTGTTACTGAAACTACATCTACTGTTGTGGGTCTTCCAGTGTTGAGCAAGCTTTTTTTTTTTTTCTCCTGCTCATCTGTTATAATTTCTTAGTGTAGAGAGCAAAAATCTAGGGAAAAACTCATTCTCATTTTCCCAGCTTCATACTTTCTTGGTCTTGTGTAAGTGAGATCCAGCCTTGCGGGTACCAGAGTACCAATAAAACGTAGGCTTTTGACTTTAGGAAAATACAAGAAATTTTAATGCAACAGACAGGAGAGAGGTTCCAGCATAGATATCTAACGTGTTAGTTTTATTTAAAGATGGTCTCACGGTGCCAGAGTAAGAAATGTCATTAAGAAAAAGAGAGAGAGAGAGAGAGAGATCAAATAAATAAATAAATAAATAAATAAAAATAGGAATAACTTTCTGATGACGAGCTTTCATCTTGGGAGGAACGGGTTCTGCGAAGCATTCTTCAGGGTGAAGTGGTCCTAATTCTTCCTGGAACCTGCAAACCGAACACACAGTAAGTGGTGCTGGAAATCTTTCTACCTATGCCACCGCTGTCGGCAGCGCTTTCATCCGTCTGATCAATAAACGTGAAGCTTATTTTGGAAAAAGTTTGGAAAAAAATTAAAGATTAGGCTAAAATGAGCTCCTTTTTACTCAATGTGTTTAACGATTTCTTATTGTTAAAGATTTTAATGAAACTTTGCTCCTCCCTTGCTGCAAAAACATAAATGCAGTCCGCCTTTTCACCAGAATGGCTTAAGTTGGACTCACCATTGCAACCCATTCCACTCAGGGAGCCAATCCTATCAATTCTTCTGCCGAAGCAGCCAGAATCTCTCATCATCCGGGGCATCTGCACCCCCCTCAGTCTCTTGAGGAAGGGGTTCCTGTAGGACAGAGGAGTGTTGGATCTTAGATTGGATTCAGCCTTCTGCTCATCGTTGTCATCTATGAGTTCTGGTGGAATCTCCTCTTGGGTTTGGGGCTCTTGCAGGTCAGGATTGGACTCCAGAGCTTCAATCAGTGCAAATTTATCCTCCAGTCTCTCCAGAAGAGCCTATAAGAGAAGGATTCATTTCATAAGACTCCTGGTGTCATGTGTTTATTAGCTCTTCCACTCATCTGACTCTGAATTTGTCTGTGGTTCTGCAGCCAGCTTTAAGTACTCCCTGGTTGGATTCCAGAGATGCTGGTGGTTCGTGAGCTCTGTCCTCTGTGTTAAATCCCTGTTTACATTAATTCCACCTATCTGTAGCTGTAGCTGAGAGGTAACAAGCTGTCTGCCAAAGAAGTGCCACAGTCCCACTGGCAAGGATAGAAGAGCTTTTGGCACAGAAACAGAACAAGAGATGCCTCTCAACCCCGCAATAGTCCACGATTTCAAAGTACTTCCGAACCCATAGTGACTCCCATGCTCTCAGAAGTTGCCTGCAATGCTGCTGGTCATTTGTTGCCTCTCTCTTCTTATTTTGACTAAAGTCTGCTCATCTTTAACCCCCAGTTATTGCAGTGGACATCACTATGAGAAGCTCCCAGTGTTTTCCACTAATCTCTACCCTAGGTATTCTAAGATTTCTGCTCCTTAAAGCAATGTGCATCTCCTTAAAAATATCTATACGAAAAAGTTGTCTGCTATCTCACCTTCTGGGTGCCATTCTCCGTAATTTTTAAAGCTTTGAATAATAGGGAACCTGCTCAAGGACAGCTCATCCTTCATCATCATCGAAGAATCAAATTGCCCATCTCTGAAAGTGGGCTAGAGAGGAGTGAACCTCATGGTTTGCTTGAGGGTGAATGCATTTGGAAGCCACTCTTTTCAGCTGGAGACAGAGGAGCCGGGGGGCATGAGGCAGTTTTAGCTTTGGCTGACACTGTCCTAATCATTTTAGGGAGCTGGTTCTCAGGTTATGATGCTGGCTTCTGGGCCAGTCCAAAGAAATGCTTCAGTTGTCAGGTTTGGTCTTTAAAGACAGAATCCTGAGTTTCTATCATTCCCCAAGCTATTGTAATAAGTCTCTAAGTCTCGCTCATTAAAGTAAGCCTGTGGTAATTTTACAGCTCCAGAGTCTTTTCTGGCTGTGTCACCGTTTCGTGATCATTCTGTTCCTCTCGGTTTGCACAAGTAATACACCTTCTAGAAGACTGACTTTGAGTGCTCTGCTTTACCTCTTCACCTCCCATCCGCATGCAGCTCTTCTCTCTTAAATCCACAAACCCAAAGCAGTAGGGCTGTCCTGGCTCACTACACTTGCCTCTTAATGGGATAAGCCCACTTGAAAGTTTTCTATTGCTTTTATTGGGACGCCATGATGCATCGCTATGTTTTTTCTCCAGGATATTGCAGTAGTTCATTAAGAAACTCAAAATGAGACTATTGCTTAAGAGAAGGGTGAAAACCCAAAGCAGCCATCTCACGGCATAGGAATTCTGTTTCCCATTGCCACCCAGCAGCTTGGGTGATCCCAGCACTGGAGGGTATTGCCCTACAAAGCTTCTTTGAACCCTGTGAAGAACTGGGGCTTTGACCACTACATACAATTGCTAACGTAGCTATCTGACCATACAAAAGAAAGGCAAAAGCACAGTTGCACACACTTCTAAACCCCCAGAAAGTTTAACCTTTTAAAAGCAAAGAGTCATCTCACCTCCATGCTGGCCAGTTCTTTGGCAGGGCTGAGGTTGTAGATGGGGTTGGCCCTGCTGGGCTGCAGCTGGACAAGAAGCAGCAAGAGGAAACCACAGGAAAATGAGCCTCTAGTGTCCATGGCGCTGGGTTCGTTGGGAATATGGGAGGTTCAAGTTGTTTCTTCTGAGATGGCTCTTCAGGTCTCTCTCTTCTTTCTCCTATCCTCTCTCTTTCGAAGCTTGTCTTTTATATGGTTTGGTGTGATCTCTGCTTCCTGGGTTATCAGGGGATTTATCTGGGGCACATTCCAGTCCCACTGCAGGCATGCGGTTCTGTCAAGGGAAGATTCCCTTTATTAGCTGTCATTAGGCAGCAGCTGCTGTTGCTGAGGAATGTATGTCACAAGTCAGTGATTTCATGTCACTCCCCCTCCTCTTGATACCAGGCGCTGTGATTACATAGTCCAGTTGGAAATTCTTAGCAATTTTCCTTCAAGAGACCCCTATGCTCAGATTTAGGGAGGTGGGAAACAGCCGCTCTAAACTCTGCTCAGTTAGAAGATTTCCGTAGGGAAATTGCTGTTTATAAGGAAAGCAAGGAAGCTTTGCAGATGAGTATTTGGTGGAGAGCAAAGGCTGAAGATGAATCTACTTTTAGGATACCTAAAGTACTATGCACATTCTCCTTCTATATAAGGAATACATGTAGCCACCGCATGCCATGGAGCGTGCTGAAAATCTCAGGTTTGGGCCACTTCCCTTTCCCCATCGCTGTAGAGGTGAGATCACATTAAGACTTTGTATTTGCATGTTGCCAGCAACAGAAGCACCCAATCTGCACCTCCTGGCAGCCGCTGTGGGGACACTGAGTTCCTCCAGCCCCATGGAACTGACTTTGGCACCGCGGAAAAATTTTTATTATACTATTAACAGCTGGACATTTAAACCAGTGGGATTTCTTTAAACATCCGTGGTAAGGTTTGACCCTGCATTAATAATATTTAAAGAGGAGGTGGCCAGATTCTGGATTAATTTTTGTGTACTGGTTTCTTTGAGAACTGAAGTTTTCAAGCTTAGCTGAAAACTGTCTGCGTTGAAATGAGAATTTACAATGATGCAGACTTGCTGCTAGGTCTTCTTCCAGCACTGTCTTTCATGCAATTAACAAGACTTTTTGTTTAGTTACTTTTTTATATATTTCAAACTCTGAAGCATATTGTTTGTGCTGCATTTTCCTAATATTCCTTATACTCAAAATTGAAACGGGAAGAGATATATGACGAAGTTGCCTATGTCAGGCTAGTAATAATTTGTTGGCTTTTCATAGGAATGTGGCTCTTGAAACAATCTCCAGGGTACAGCTTCTAAATAATAATAGAATAAAATATCTTTTTGTGTCTTAGCACAGTATTTGTGTACAAACATGCAGACATGCTGTTCACATGACCTGCCTACCAAAATTATACAGGAAAGGGCATTCTCAAGGTTGTGAAGTCGAGCCCAAATACTGCTTTTTTCCCAGCATGGCTTGAAGTCAGCTCATCTGTATGGTATCATAAAGCAGTACTCAGTTCTGTATTAATGTGTTCCAGCCCATTGTTATTTAGTCCTGTTCAAATTGTGGTAAAGAAAGAGTTACCAACCTGACAGCTTTGTTACTGACACTCCGTGCTGCAATGTCTACATGGTTCGCTAAATAATTGCAGGTATTTTCTTACTTATCTTCATTTTGTAAGCTGAGAATGGATGAGTACCAGTATTATAAATGGTATTCATTAATACTGAGAGTCCAGTTTCAAGTAATCAGAGTCTGTTACTGTTCTTTTTCTTTCCTTTTGCTCCCACCTGCCAACTATTCTCTAGTGCTGTCCCTGTGCTAAAAAAAACCCCTGTTGCTCCTTGTCAGTTTTGCCTGAGAGCTCAGCACATCTGTAAAGCAAACCCCAGGTCACAGACCCAGCTCTGAGAAAGAAGGAACGTGGTATCAGTCATGAGGCAATATTTAGCTATGAGTGGCCTATCTGTGTAGAACAACCTAATATTCCAAGGCTGCCTTCAGTAACCTGGACCAAGAGCTACTCCTTTCTTTTACTAATTAGTTCACTTTCATTCTTCCACATTCCACAGCAGATAGATGAGATCTAGGGGCCCAACTGTAGCCTCAATAGAATTTTTCCAACGTGGATATGCCTGTGCACTATTTCACATAGCCTATATGAAAGCATACAGATGGGATGAACTGACTGGCTGTCACGGTAGCTATCATGTTTACAAATTCTGTCCTCTGTTATCCATCTGACAGCTCTGACAAAACAAATGGGGTGTAAAATGATAGAACTCAGCTATTAAGCTCACTTGTTTTTCTGCTTGGGATATCTCAGCATCATCACCCTTGCAAGGCTAATAGGAACTTTTGGCTTTACAGTCCAGCAGTGGAGGGACAAGACCAAGGTATTACCCATGCTTTGCTAACTATTTGTACACTAATTACTAGGATTCTAAACAGAGCACTAGGTTCTTATAAATGCATACTGTGACCAGTTTTAGGAGTGGGAAAACTAGTTTTAGGAGAGGGAATATGGGACAGGAGCTGAGGAGGAGGAGGGTCTCAAGAGGATCCCTGAAAGGAGCAGAGATAGCACATGGACAGAGCCCAGCCATGGTTAGCACTGCCACTACCCCTGCAGTATGGTGAGGTGACTAAAACCTTCAGAAGAACTCTGCCGTACGCCAACCCAAGCTCTCTTTTCTTGCAGTTCCATTAGATCAAGAGTTATAGAATCATGGAACAGTTTGAGTTGGAAGGGACACTAAAGGCCATCAGATGAAACCCCTGCGGTGAGCAGGAACACCCACAGCTCCATCAGGTGCTCAGAACCCCATTCCCTGACCTTGGGTGTCTGCAGGGATGGGGCACCTCCAGCACTCTGGGCAATCTGTACCAGTGCCTCATCACCTTTCTTCCTTATATCCAATCTAAATCCCCTCCTTTAGTTGGAAACCATTTCCCCTGTCCCATCACCATTTGCAGGGAGGCCTTCCATCCCTGGGATCATTTTTGTGGCCTTCCTCTGGACGCACTCCAACAGGTCCGCATCTCTCCTGTACTGAGGACCCCACACGGTGATCCAGGTGAGATTTCACCAGCACAGAATAGGCTCAAGACCATCAGTTTGGGAACCAAAAGGAAAAGGTAACGACGTGCAACGCGTCCCTGCAGGGGCTGATTTCCTCGCTGCGGGCTTCTGGCGTCTGTCCCCGGTCCTGAAGGCCTGGCTGCCCTTCGGCTGCTGCCAAATGTATTTTTAAAGCCATGCAGCTCTTCTGTCTTCAGTGCCACCCCGTGGCGGCCCGCCGTGCCAAATTTGGCATAGCCCATGGGACGGGGCATGTGTAGCACACTACTTGGAATTAACCCTCTGCCCACCTCCTGGGAGGATTCACAGCCAGAGCGGTGAAATGCTCGTGGGAGGCATCTGAGCGCATTGCCATGGGTCTGGAATTGGCTGTGGTGCCTCTCCAGCGCAGCAAGGAGAGTTACTGGGGTGACTCCCTGGCATGGAATGGTGCTACACGGCCTTCCAGACCTGGCAGGGTGATCTGGCCAGTGCCAAGGACCAAGCCCTTAGGGTAGAGGGAGTGGAGGACTTTGGGGGGTGGGGAGGAGTTCTATATCTATGCTATTCTGTGACCAAAGAAAACACTTACAAAAGGCAGTAGAAGCTTCATACAAAAGGTTTATTGTTGTATACCCCAAATTCCAGAAGCTCCAGGGGGAGGCTGGCTGTCCAGCAGAGGGACAAGACCAGTGCTTGAGAGCCAGTCCCGGCTTCAGCTTCTCCTTCTTCTCCAGAAACCTGAAAAAAATAAAGGGCAAAGAGCTGGAGGGGTAGGGGAGCTACTCTGAGGCTGGCAGCCAGCTGCCCCTGTCCCCACCACTTCACAGGGAGTTCTGGATCTGACCCAAGACCTACGGGCTTTGTAGTGATTGCATCCCAGTCCTGACTGCGCGCCGATCCTCTCCATCCTCGTCCCAAAGCAGCCGGAGAAATGCCTCCGTCCGAAGGAGGAGAGGAGGCTCCTCCACTGGCTCTGTCCCTCCGCTGGTTGGGGAGGGCTGAGAGCTGGCAGAAGGGCACCCACCGGGCTGCTTTCTAGCCCCTGGAGATCCCACTCCGAGCCACCAGCTTCAGCCCCAGCACCCAGCTCATCTTCCAAGGCTGGTGCCCCTTCCTCCTCCTGGAGCTGCTCCAAAGCCTCCAGGAGCTCCTGGAGAGGGAAGCAGAGGTGAGAAGTGGCAGCTGCAGCTTCAGATGGGCAGCTCTGCTCTTGTCCTCATGTCCCCAGGAGTCCCAGCCCCAGTACCTGCAAGGACTGCAGCTCCGCATCATTTTCACCACCAGCCCATGGCATAAACAGCAGCAGTAGTGAGGCTTTGCAGCAAAGATCCAGCAGATGCATCCTCTCCTTCTCTCTCTATTTCTCTTCCTATCCTATCCCCAGCTCTCCCTGTGTTTTCGCTTTACCCACAGAAGCCTCTCCTTATATCCCTGCTCTCTCTGCCCAGAGGGAGCTCAGCTGCCTCCTTCCAGATCCCCACAGGAGCCAGAGCTCTGTCCCCCAGCCTCGATAAGGGAACTGGTTACAACTGGCCCCATAGGTGACCCTCTGGGAGAGGGGGGTTCCCTGAGTGCAACACCTCCTTCAGAGGGAGAGAACTGCCCCAGGTCACCTCCTCCCCTCCTGGCAGCACTCATTTTCCTGGTGATTTCCTCCCTCCCTCCACTCTCCATCACTGTTAGGGAGGAGGTGATGCAGGAAAGGACCTTGTGCTTTCTGCCTGTTTGCTCTGCTTCACATCCACAGGCGCACAGCAGCTACCTGAGAAGAGGGTTGATTTCCTCTCCAAGGGATGAGGGATGTATCATTTCTCATTGCTGGGAGGGAGAAGAAGGAGCTGGAATTTTTCCCTGCCTGCAGCAGCTCCACACAGCCTTTTCTTCTCTGCATACATATTTTTGTTCTTTGGGAATAGAATGAGGTTTGGTTTGAGGAGATTTTACAAATTCCTGAGATGATGCATCTTGCCTTCCTGGGGGCTGGAATGGGCTGGTCTTTAAGGTCCCTCCCAACCTGAGCCATTCCGTTATTCCTCAGGCATTCACTGCACCCTCCTGTACCAAGGATCAAATCAAGATGACTCTGGTAAATTCTTACATTCTTAAATTAGTAAATTCCAGTGGGCAGAGGAGCAGACGGTCCTTTCAATCACTGCCAGGGTCTCTGCTTTCTGCACTCTTTGTCTGCTTGGACATCCATGAATCTCTTTGATTTCAGTAGATATGCAGTGATTTCTGCTTGGGCCGTTGTCTCAGGGTCTGCCCTTTAGCTCAGCAAAGCCAAAGAACGTTCAAAAAACATGGAGATGTGGTACTTAGGGCCACGGTTCAGTGGCAGTATTAATGATGGGTGGATGGTTGGACTGGATGATCTTAAAGGTCTTCTCCAAACTTAATGATTCTATGATCCTATAATGCCTTTCCTCTGAGTTCAGGGAGTTTTACAGTAAGTTTTTGTGGACTTTTACTGCCACATACTGTATTGCAACATACATTATGCTTTTACATTCCCTTCCCTGCTTCTTTTTTGGTCTTTCTGTCCCACAAACCTGCCTACAGCTGACATCATTTGTCTTTGACTGGAATCAAACAATATCAGATGGTGTAGGATGATGATCTCTGCATCCACCAGTCAGCAAGCTGTTTTGTTTAAAGCATCACAACAAGCAGTGCCTCCTTTCCTGAAAGAAGACTCATTTGGGAAAGGTATGTGTATGTTTCATGGTGTGTAGGTGTTATTTTACTGCAAGCTTTTCTTCTCAGCTCCTCCTGTAACCCTGGCTGGTAAATTCATGCACTGCTTCTTAGTGGGGATGGAAATGACACAGCTAGAGCTGAGCTTCCCCGTCTGACTGGCATGCTAACTTCAAAGGTTAGCTTTGATTGTTTAAATGCTAATAGAACTCAGCAAATTGCCTAAAGTACAGACACATCTGGCTTTAGTCCTAGGGACCTAATTACGGGGCCTTTTATGTGAAATAAATTGTTCTTTCCTTATGAATAGTGGCTTTTTTAAATGTTCACCCCAAATGCCAGCTGATAGGATGCCATGTTACAGCTCAGTGTCGGGGGAGTTGAAGATCTTAGCAATTTCTTATTCACCTGCTGTAGGATTCTGTTGACAACAGCTCAATCTTCAACCTCTTCAGACCTATTTTATTTTATCCACAAATAATTTCAAGGTAGTACAGCTGAGTTTGTAAACAGGCCGAGGATGTTTAGGAAACAGATTCCAGTAGCACTTTTTTTTTTTTTTTTTTTTTTTAAAGTTTTTAGTGTGTTTTCAGCATTCAAATTCCACCATCAGGAAGCTTTCAGGCCTATGAGAACACATCTGCTCCTAGGGTTACTGCAGGGAGGCTGTCAGACCCAGCATCGTTAGGAAGGATGCTACACCTTCCCATTGGCACCAGCTGTCACAACATACTTGCCCTTCATTGCTTGTCAGCAGGCTGTGTGGATTCACCTTGCTACCATTTAGGCTGCACCTGGGCCATGCTAGGGCTAGCATGCCCAAGAGGGAATCTATTTAAGAGAGCTGGATGCTCCTTGTGGGGTTTCTACGAGTGAAGGTCTGCTTCTTTTTATTGTAACTCTCTCTACTGGGAGAAAAGAAGCTCTCTTTCTGAAGGATATTGAGTTAGAGCAATGAATGTACAGGAGAGAGGTGTTTGTATGATGGAAGCTACAGACAGGAGAGTTTTATGTGTGGTCCAACCAGGCTGTAGAACTCTAGGAGGATTTGCCCATGAATGGGACTCCATCTAGAAATGCTGCTTACACTCATCATGCTGTAGCAATAGCACTAAGACCATGCTTTACATGTCTAGTGCAAAGTGAATGCTGCTGACAAGTGGAGGTACTCTTATCCTTCCTTCCTTGCTCTAATTTTTCATTATTGATGAAGTACTTCATTTACATGTTGCTTTGCTTAAGAAAGGCAGCACAAATAATTAATTATGTGGGTTATTCCATTGTTTGAGAGGCTTGGAGGTGCCTGTGGAAGTGGTGAGACCATTCCTTGCCAGTAAGTGACTGTTTAGGGTGCTTTTGCTGCTGCTGCTGATTTGTTATCAAATTAACTTAAGCAGAATAAGTAGGAAACAGCATAAGACCTCATAGAGACTGGTAAGTAGGGCAGCCTTCAGGATGTGTTTCACAGTTCCTGTTCAGGGTTTGAGGCACCATTGCTGATAACCTCCCAACTAGTGGTCTGAGGAGATAAAGGTCCTGAAGGCTGAAAGAGCCACAGACAGGTAGAATTAAATTTCTAATTTAATTAGAATTTAATCTAATTTAATCTAATTAAATTTCTAATTTCTAAATATGCAAGGTGTATTAAAAGGGTGAGAGATCAGAAGAAAATACAGAGAGGAGCTGCTGGTGGCTTGGGCAAGGGGAGACCATCTCCATTAGCAAATAATTCTGTGCTTTCTTGTATCTGATAGACAGCTTTTAAGTGCTTGTATGATATGCTCTTGTGAGCTTGTAGCATTCATGTCCTTCCTAGAGCAAGTCTGTGGCTTGAGGGGGAAAGCTGTATATCGAGAACAGTGTGAGAGAAGAATCAAGTTTTCTTAGTCAGGCTCTTTATAGCTCTCCTGCAGATCCTGGCTTCTTTTCTTTCCACAAGAATTGCATTTAGAAGGAGCAAAACCGAAACTTAGCTAACACAGTTGTCCTTTAAATTCAAACAATAGTGGCCAAAGGCTGGGTGTCTTGTGTATGAGATCTTTAACTTCAGGAAGGTTACTCCAATTTACCTATACCAGAGAGCAGATTCTAATATGCTTTTGAATTCTAGTGGGTTATGTCTAATTGCAAACAGCAGCACTGCATCCCCTTCAGGAATGGTACATAAAAGAGAATTGCAGCAAAGGATTGAAACAAATTCACCCAGTTACGGAAAAAAAAAGTTTACTATCCATGACATAATGGAAACTGTTCATTTATACGTTTATTACATAAACAGTACAAATGTTTTTTGTACTTACATTTCTGGTAGATGCTCACAAATAATTACTCTGATACAAATAAGCATACAGTTATGGTGTGTCCTATTCTGTCTCCCCTAAGTAATTTAGGGGAGAGGTTCAGTACATCATCTGTAGATGGGTTGGTGGAACCAATGCAAATAAGGGCTTAATATCTCACTGATAGCCAGCAGGTCCTTTGAACCCTCCAGGTCAGTCCTGTCAAGAAAGCAAAAGAATAAGTTTAAAAACAAAAACAAAAAAAAAAAGATGTGGACAGGATTTCACACATGGAAATTGATGACTGCTTTCTGTTTTAGGGCCAGCTGCATCCCCAGAGTTTGTACTGACAGAAGAATCCCTAAGGAATTGGTGAAAGCCTCCCTGATCTGGCATCTGTGACAACGTGAAGTGCATACATCTGACTGGGAGAAAGGAGTGAAAAGCAGGTAAAGCAGAGCTGTGGTTTTCATGGGTTTTAAGCATACTGCTGATTATATATTCTGCCAGTGAAGTTAATTAACTGTGTTTTCAATAGGAGGATGAAAGTTACTCTAGGCACCCTTTCTTAAAGGTTAATTAAATGAGCTCTTCTACATATTTATACAAGTCATACACAAAACCCATGTGTCCTTGACTCTCTTACCACAGTAAGCAGTTAGCACCCCAGTCCGCTCATCGACCCAATTCTGTCCAACTTGACCCCGAAACAGCTCCTGGACAGACCCTTTTTGATTCTGTTTGGATATCTCTGAGGTAAGCCTAAGAGGCCACTGAGGAGCCTCTGGGCAGCACTGTCAGCAGTGGACGTCCTTGCAGGCTGATCTCTGGTGTTTCGGGTCCACTGGAACTCAGCGTCTTCCTGCTCAAAGGCACCTATTGGGATTGAGCCATCTTGCTCACGGTCCCTCTCTTCTGAGACCAGGGGATGCTCCAGCTCCTCATCTAACGGCATGGACAGACTCTGAGTAGGGGGAAAAAAGTAGAAAAGGAAAGGTTGGAGGAGGACAGGAGAAAAATGAAGGGGTAATGGGTATTTTTTTCAGTTAACCTAGAGGCTTCTAGGTTTATTTACCAGTTCTGCCTCTGGAGCTCAGGAGCAGGGACTGTATTATTGCACTGCACAGAGGAGAAAATCCTCTTCACAGTTGTGCAGGCACAACCTATTAATTCAATGTTCAGCTTTTACTAGAGGCTTGAGGGAGGACCATGCAGGTGGCTGCTCTAAGTCTACAGGAAGGAGCCCTTCTAGGCAAATTCCTTCTCCAGAAGTTTATTGCTTCACTCAATCATAGAATGACCCTGAATCTGAAATCTCCAAACTGACCCCATGGGAAAAATGTTTCCATTTCAGCTTCCTCAACTGATCAGAAATGTAAATCCAGTAATTGGCTGCTTCAGTTTCCCTCCATTAAATAACTCTGCCTGCCTGACTTCAGGATTTCTGCTGTCGTGTTCCCTTTGAATGCCTCCTACTTCTTTAGCTGGGGTTGGGAGAAACATTGGTAATCTGAGGTGCCTACATCCTAAAGGAGCATCAATTTCTTTCCATTCTATTGAGCAGCACTTACCTGCAAGCTGGAAATAGGTTTGGCCATTGCCTGCTTCTGGCTGACAATAAGCAGCAGGAAGAATCCAGGGCAAAAAAGAAGTTTCATCTTCGTGTCTTGATGTCTCTGATTCTTTCTCTCCTTGAGTCACTCAGTTCTGTGCCACTCTGTGTCTCCAGCCACCAGCCTTTATATCTTCCTCCAACCCCTCCCAAGTCTACCTTTTGAGTTCCAGCCAGTGCAAGGATTGGTCTGAGGTTCTGATCTGTTTTCATTCTCCCAAGAGGAGGAGGGAAGAAATAGTTCTCCTTTCTGGCTGGGAATAAAAGGAGCATTTTACGCTTAGGCAATGCAGCATCATTCTGTTGCTGTGAATGTGAAGGTCTCTGCAGCCTGTGTTCTTGGTGCCATTTATATATGTCAGCTTGCTTAGCTCAGTGTTCCTGAAGTTGATCACTGAGCCTTTCCTTTGCCTCTGGGGAAATGTAATTGTGAGAGAAGTACTGAATGAAAAAGGAATTCACCTGGCTCTGTGAAATACAAAAACAGAGGGAAAGGGGGGGGGGGGGGGGGGGGTGAGGTGAGGAGTGTCTCAAAATATGCAATTTGAGAACCAAATATTATCACCTAATTTGTTAATATGGCATTAGTAAGCCATAAGAATGTTATTTGGAGAAGTGGGTACATCCAAGTCCTAAAAATATGTCAAGTAAGTTGCACGAGAACGTAAATTTTGATGCACAGAATACTTTGCCGTAGTTTAAGCTGATGAAGAAGGTCATTTTCTGCCTTGGATCCAAATTAAAAATTTCTCTTCTGTGTTCTTCCTCTACGTAATTGTTATTAAATCTGAAATTAGTCTGGCAGGAAGCACAGCCCCCGTTTCTTTCTTACCACGAGTGCAGTTACAGAGACACTGCAGAGCTGCAGGAACCAAATGTGTTTACTGCGTTACGTTTCTACTTATTCACTGAGTCAATCGATGCACCAGGTTTGAACAAAATGGATCCTGTGAACAGAAGTAAATCAGTCCTAAGCGAAGGCCTCGAGGTAATTAAATCCTTGCTGTTGGCCAGGCTTTCCTCTAGTGTGAAAGGACCTGAGGGATGTGTGTGTGTCCCCTGATGAAATTGTATGTAGGTAATTGATCCCCCCAAGTCCTCACTGCTTCTGATGAGCTTTGTACTTAATTCCTCGCGAAGAAATTTTTCAATGCTGGGGGCATTGGGAAAGAGCAGCCATAAAATCAGTTGTGTGTTCTGCTGGGGCTTGGAATTTGGCCCTACTGATAAAATGGGGATGTTTCTGAGTATGCAGTAACACATCTTGATCTTTGTCTGATATTTTTTTTCCCCACACATGTGATGCAGAAAGTTAAAGGCCATTCGTCTGGATCTGTAGGGAGGGAATGGAAATGAAGGCCCATTTGGCACCTTTCATCATATCTTTGAGGTTAAGATTCTTTTGGTACTGAAAGCATGGAAAAGGCCAAAGGTTAAATGTTTTCAGCCTTTTCTTCATCCACAGGTCAGTTTAAGACATAAAAGTTGCATGGAAAGAGATTCTTTAAGGAAGCAGCTTATAAAGATCCTTCTATCACAGAAAAGGATGCTATGATGTTGTTGGGATTTTTCTGTTGTTGATTAAAACCACATTTGATCCAAATCTTATTAGAGGATGAAATCATAGAACAACTTGATCAGCTACACATGAGCATTCCCCCTTCTGGAGAAAGTAAAAGAGAAGATGGAGGTGTATGCTTTGCAGTGTACCAAGGCAGCAAGAGAAGGTCAGGGGAGGAGCATAAGGTTGTTTTATTCATTTGAGATGTTTTTATCAGTCTGTGTGAATCATAGAATCACAGAATGGCCTGGGTTGCAGAGGAGCACAGTGCTCACCCAGTTCCAACCCCCTGCTGTGTGCAGGTCACCAACCAGCAGCCCAGGCTGCCCAGAGCCACATCCAGCCTGGCCTTGAATGCCTGCAGGGATGGGGCATCCACAGCCTCCTTGGGCAGCCTGTGCCAGTGCCTCACCACCCTCTAGGGGAAAAACTTCCTCCTAAGCCTCCCACCTTAGTTAAAACCATTCCCCCTTGTCCTATTGCTATCCATGGGGATAAATAATCTTCTTGGCTTTGATCTTTGAACTTTTATTTTCTCCTGTTTCAGCTCAAGACTTGAACAATTGTTATGGGACTTCTGAATGGTCTTTCTGGTAACTATTGAATATTGAGCACTTGCCAGCCCCACTATCACAGTAATTAACCATGACTGTGATGGAAAAAATCATAGAACAATTAAGGTTGAAAAGGACTTCCAGAGGTCTTCTGTCCAACCTCGTGCTAAAAGCAGAGCCAACTTGGATCATCTTTCTCACCTTGTTGAGTTCTGAAAATCTTAAAGAGCATCTCCAACCTCTCTGAGCCCTGTTTCAGTATTTGACTGGCTATGTGATGTAATGATTTCCAAATTCCTACTTGGAATTCTCTTGTTTGTAACTCATGTCATTGGCTTTCATCTGTTTCTGCCCCATGAACAGGACACAAGGATGTTCCACCTCCAAAAATGACACGAGTTTGAAAATGATGAGAAGGAGGACAGCTTTGTTCCACGTTGGCTGTAGCTGCATTCAAATCATATTTATTGCACTGGACAGGGATGGCTAGAAACAGAGAGCAATCTCTTCTCACATTCTGGATCTCTTCGGGGCTCTGGTTAGGATCAGAAGTCAATGCCTGAATGTTTACAGCAATTTTAAAATTACAGTTTGAATGGTGTGGTTAAAAGCAAACCTTTAACGTTCAAATTCAGTCTTTAAGAAGGGAAGAACTTCTGAAAGCACCAGAAAATATTTGGGTGACAGGAAATGGCTTTCTGGCCATTTCTGAAGTGATTGAGAGTTCATTTGTACAGCATACCCTCCAGGTAGGATGGAAGGAATAAAGTAAGCAGGTTGATGTGTGTTTCTCATCTCCGACAGGATTTTTTTTCTAGTTTACTGAGATATTTCTCTTGTACCTGCAATTTTTTTTATTAAAAGAAAAGGGGGTAGGGCATATTGAACTTCTGGGAATGTTTCTGCTCCACCTCTGCAGGGTGTTCTGAGAAATGCACGCTGTAAAGTTGATGGCATGTGGCCTGCTTAGATAGGTACCATTAGATCACTGCCACAGTAACTCATTATCCTTCTCTTTCCTAACCCAGAGACCCCTTTCAGCCTCCTCTTCCTTCCCATTTGCTCAGGCCAGCATTTCCTGGCTCACTGCAGCTGGCTGAAAGGGCAGAGACATGTTTGTAGTGCTTTCGTTAAAGTGGGGTTGTCAAATTCGTGATGGAAGCTGGCACCAGGGCTCCTCATTATAGGACATTAACATTTCACTGTGCTATCTGAGCATTTGCCTGGCTGTCTCCCTCCCTTGCCCTCTTCTGATTCATCTGGTGGCTGAGCTGTAGCAGGGTTCAGCACACAGCATCATCACCAGCTCAGGCTTGCTGGTTATTACCCAGCCGCAGGTGCTCTGCTTGCTCATCTGGCGCTTTATTGCCTTCACCTTAGGGTACGTGTTGACAGCAAGGCCCTGTTGTGGGAAGGGGTGCAGAGGGATATGCATCATCAGTTCCCTTCAGAAAAGGGAATCGGCACAGAAACTACTGCGCTCACTTACCAGGTGTATCTGTGAATGGGGGGAGACCTGACAGCAGCCTTCCAGGGAGCTTATAAACAGGAGGGAAATGAACTTTTTACATGGCCTGATAGTGATAGCACAAGGGGGAATCGTTTTAAACTAAAAGAAGGGAGATTTAGATTAGATTTCAGGGGGAATTTTTTTACTGAGAGGGTAGTGAGGCCCTGGCACTGATGCCCAGGGAAGTTGTGAATGCCCCGTCCCTGGATGTG